TTCCTAGAAACTCGTATTTTTACCTCCGGTTATCTTCTACGATCACACTGCTGTCATCCCAGAAAATGCGAATGTTCTCGATCGTTCCATTGTGCGCAATGTTTCCGTTTTAGTGTTTTCAGCGGCATCAGATACGTCAAAAAGAAATGGCAAATAAATTTGACGATGCATTGCATCATAAGATTAACCTTTAGCCCTTACTCTTGTGTAAATCTGACTAGCGTGAAGTCAATACGAGCATTGTAAGAATTACAAAATTGTTGACATTGACTAAAAACCTTTTGGGTGAACGTTTCGGTTAAAAATACTATAACCTTCTTCAGCATAAATGGCGTACGAATGCAAATGAGTGCTTTATAAGAGCCGCGCGATATGGAGGTATAGCTATGACAAAATTCAGTACTCAGTAATTGATATCAAATTATCCAAATTGTACATGCATCAATTAAAAGTTGAATGACAACTAGCCGATTTTACAAATGGTCATTACGCAAACAGGCATCACGTTAAAAGGCATCACGCTAAAAGGCATCGCGCTAAAAGGCATCACGCTAAAGGACCTCACGCTAAAAGGCATCACTCTAAAAGGCATCACGCTAAAGGGCATCATGCTGAAAGACATCACGCCTAATGGCATCATACGAAAAGGCATCACGCAAGAAGGCATCACGCGAAAAGGCATTTTCAATACGAGCATGCATGCATGAATTTGAAATTGAAAAAAAAAAGGCAATCCTCAATTTCTTGTGTTTGTTTCAACTTCTGCTGTCATCCTCGGATTTTTCGACATTTTTTTCCATTTACCATGCCGGAATTGAACGAGTGGTACTTCCTTATCTAAGCTCTATCGGGCTTGCAAGTGTCTATCAATTATTGAATTACGCTTTGCTAATTGCGGTATTCTGGTTCTTGGGGATTTTAACAGATTGGACATTACACCCCTCCGGAACAATTTCCAACTAAAGCAAATGGTCCACCTTCCCAACTCGCGGTAGAAGAACACTTGATTTAATCCTCACCAATATCTCAGAATACTACCAGGCTCCCATGGACCGCCCCCCTTTCGGCCTATCGGACCACGCTACAATTGAACTTTAGCCGAAGGAAAGAGCTCATATGAAGCAAGCTATGTTCAATATCAAAGCGAGGGATTTGCGCCCTAGTAA